CAGTTTCAATCATCTTCATTGTAGGTTTCTTTCAGTTTTTCAGAGTTTTCTTTAGTTTAGATATTTATTTCTCAGTTTGTTTTGGTGGTAGGCATTTTTTTAGTGTCATTCCTCAGTCTACCAGGTTTCTTCAATATATATGTCCTTAAGTTTTCTCCGGTTATTGATTTATGTATTTCATGATTAGGTTCAGTGACATTTTCAGTCTTATTCAGGTTCAGTCATTTGTAGCTTTCTCCTCTCTTTTTTGTGAGTAATCTGTAGCTTTCTCCTGGTACTCATTTCTTCAGTGGTAGGTTAGTTTGCTAGTTTAGCATTCATTCAGTTTTTAGACTATCTATATTTTCTCATTTCACTTCTTTAGCCTTCATATTTATTTCCTCACTTCCTTTTTTCCAGATGGTCGTATAGCATTCAGCAAGGATGGCTGGGAGGAATTCACGGAGGAGAACGAACTAAAATAGGTTGGCCGAGTGGTGCTAATCACTGTTAGGAATAGTGCATTGGACAATCTAGAAATGATGGTTGTCGTCAACCTGATTTAAGATTACCATAAGTGTTAATGCTCTAGTTTTTGTCGTTGTTATCTATGTCTTACTGATGTCATCTATCTATGTCGCTCCGCGGGATGGACGAACTATGTGTCTTCTCTCTTTTATAGGTATCTTTTGTTTGGTTATGTATGGCACTGTCAAGAACAATTTAATATGGGGCATGAAAACCTTTCAAATGCTAGTCTATTTGGTTAGTGTTCAGCTTTAACATGGAGGCTTTGCGTTTAGTCTTTATCAGTATTTTGGATCGACCATTTTTTCAATGCTGGGAGTAACTTTTCAATTATTTGAAATTCAGTATTCAGTATACTGTCAAATTCAGTTATGTCGGTAAGATCCAACTCCTCAGATCATTGTGTTTGATGGAAGTTTTTTTTTTGACCGGTTTTCAGTGTTTTGCATTTTTTCATTATTGTTCGGAGTTGTTTGGTGTGGGTCTTCAGTAAGAAGTTTTAAAGAAGTAACCACATTTCTGCCACTAGCATTCATCATCTTTCTTTTTTTTCTTAAAAGAAATGGGATTATCTCCTGTCACTAGTACTCCCTCCGTTCCTTAATGTAGTGCATATAGATTTTTTGAAAACTCAAACTTTGACCAAGTTTATGAAGAAAACTATTTATGTCCACAATACCAAATATATGAATTATGAAACTACGTCTTATGATAATTCTAATGATATATGTTTGACATTCTAGATGTAAATATTTTTCTCCACAAACTTGATCAAAGTTTGTGAGATTTGACTTTTCCATCGGTATTGTTTTACTTCTTTGGTTGTATCCTTATTTAGCCATTCTTTTGACTTTGGTCCTGTTCATCTGTCAGTCTAGTGTCTGAAGTCGTAGGTGTCAAATTCAATTAACAATTTTGTGTTCAGTGTTAGGTGCCGTTTTCAGTTTTGTCAGTTTTCAGTTCTGTCAGCTAACGGCATTCTCCGTTAGGTCTGCTTCGGTTATCCCCTTTCTTTCGGCGGAAAGGAACGCATAGAGTGGTGCAAAATGAGGCGGCCATTCTATAGGAGCAGCGAGGTGGGAACTCGGATGTGGGCGGCGGCGGCGCAGCTCCACATATTCAGTAAAGTCATCCCCCCTCTTCTTGTGATCTTGATTTGATTCATATCCGACTCTTCTAATTCAATCAGAGTTATGTACCAACTTTGCAATGTGACTAAGAAAACCGCAGACCTCATGGGTTAGCATTTAAGAAGATAAGTTGCAAAGTGATTGGTCTTTTTCCGATCAAAAAGAAAACCATGGTGGTTGAGACCCTGTGGCCTTGTCGGTCGACCCGCCACATATCGTAGAGTACCCTCACCTCCGTGACTTTGGTCTTGAGCACGATGCCGACGGCCACACAGTGTTTGTTATCCTCCGTATGATCGTCCAGGTAGAAGCGGACGCACCAGTCGTAGCCGCCGACGAAGGTAGCAGACTCAATGGACTTACCGATGCAGAAGCCCTGTTCAGGTTGTACCCATCAATCTTGAAGATGTGCGTCCTGTGCGCAGTCTCCAGGGCGCAGGTCGAGGCCATCCTCGTTAGTAAGCTCTTAGACGCAGCCATCGTGGCCTCTAGGTGGGGTAGAAACTAAGCGCGGCGGGGACGGGGGCGGTGATGGGTGCCATCGGGAAGGGGAACGAGCGACGGGGCGAGTCAGAAGGCAAAAGTAGCACGGTGGGTGGTGGGAACAATCGACGACAAGTTGGCGAAAAGAATTTTGCAATGACTGCCGCGCGAGAAGGGACGAAGATATATGGTGAAATTGTTCGGCCCAACTTTTCCATGACGGATTCCAATTCCAGCTTACCAAAAAAAATTCTCGGTTTGGAAGCTAAAGTTGATGGATCTCCAATTTCTCGTGGACAAAGTTGCAAGAAAGTTATCAAAGTATGATGGCCAAAACATCACCACCAGTGGATGTACGGCTCTTGTCATGTCCGTGATCATATCCCAAGTGGTCTACCCCACCACCCCGTTGGTCATCCCACCACATACTTCACAACGCCAACAAGCTCGAGAGAGATTTCCTTTGGCCCGGTTCGGACAAGACAACGGGGGCCAAATGCAAGGGGAATTGGGAGTATGTTTGCCAGCCACTTGAGTACGGAGGTCTTGGGGTCCTCAACACAGACAAGTTTACGAGGGCTCTCCGGTTGCGATGGTCGTGGTATGAATGGAAGGATCCCACCAAGATGTGGGTGGGAATAGGAAACCCATGCAATGGGGAGGACCTCAACTTTTTCTATGCTTCCACCACCATCACCGTTAGTAATGGTGTGAGGACCCACTTTTGGGACTCTCCTTGGCTTCTTGGGCGAAAGCCTAAAGATATTGCCCCACTCATCTATGAAGCTTCCAAGAGAAAGAATTGGAAGGTGAGGGAGTCCCTAAAGCACAACGCTTGGATTCTCAAGATCACACCCCTCCCACTGCCACCACCACCACCACCACCAATGTCTCCGTTGAGCACATCATGCAATTCTTCGCTCTATGGATGGTACTAAATGAGGTTCATCTTTAGTTGTCTTTAGTTGTGGCTTCTAGTGAAAAAAATGAAGAAAAGCTATGGATGAAGAATATACGGCTCTAATGAAGAGTAACACATGGCACTTAGTACTCCACCTCGAGGTAAAAACATGATGGGCCAGAAACAAGTTTATCCCAGGTATAAAGTGTGCCTTGTTACCATAGGCTTCAAGAAACACTAATGTTTTGATTATCAGGATGCTAACCTATTATAAAAGCTTCCACCATAAGACTTGTATTAGGCACAACATTCTCCAAAGGGTGGTGTTTATGCTTGTTGTGCGGAACATGTCAATTCTCAATGTTATGCAAGACAAAGTGTATCTCAAAGAACCACTGGTATATGAAAATGGATACACATATCACTATGTTTGCAAACTTGTCAAAGCACTCTATTGCCTTAAAGAGGCCCCTCGAGCATGATACTCTTGATCAACCATCTCACACATTGGGCGGCTTAGCTTATAGAACTATCATGCTTCTTCCACGATAGCATCAGCTCCAGTGAAATCCTACATTGAGAGAAAAGTGTTATTTAAGTACACATGTCCAACTCAACAATTCATATGGAGCACATAGATTCGTACAAATGAGAAAAGTTCTTACTTCCACATGCATGTTGGAAAATATATCATCCATTGAGAAGGCACTGATTTCATTCAAATGATCATTAAGAGGTTGCTGATTAAGTGTGCCTTCTTGCATAGGAACAATGCTAGCTCCATCCCCACCATCATGTAGCTGAGTCAATGAGACGAAATCATCTGTCTGAAGGGTGTGAAGCATCAAAGTAGTTCTTTCACTGTTGACCAGATGAGTATCATTAGTTGAAGTTCTACTTGCATCAAGTGTAGAGCTACCATTCAACATCGTTCCTACTGAGCTTATGTTGCTTGCCATGTTGAATGGTGCCATTTGCTCAGTGAAGCCTCCCACTGATGTGGTGTTGCTTATGAATGGTGCCTTTTCATTTTGCAGAGGCAGCCGGCCAGATGACATTGCATATCTCTCTAGTTGGTTGCTATGTGGGAAGTTCACCTGTGATGCAACAAGAGACCTCCCGCCACCAACTGTTGTGTTTGCAAATGAACTTTGAAGATTGGAAGGGGTTTTGCCTTTGCTTATCTCCATTATCTTGACATGCATGATGTCAGCATAGGAATTACTATAATTGAATGATGGAAATTCATCTGACATTATCTCATTGGGTATGTTGTCGTATAGGCTGACGGGAGGGTCAGCAAAACCTGTGAATCTTCTCGCATCTGACGGTAGTTTCGCAACATACTTTGGCATTCTACGACCATGGAGGTATGACCCTGTGTAGAAGTTGCTTTGGATGTTCATCGGCAGAGCCAAGTGACCCGTTGAACCATACTTGTTTGTACTCCAAGAGGCAGTGTCGCCAGAGGACACACTCCATCTTCCATGTTTCGTGATTATGCATGAAATTGCCCTTGTTGTTCATGTTGTACGATGAGTTCCATCTTTCATATGCATCACTAGAGGGATTTGACTTAACTCTTTTTAAGTGCAATCTATACTTCTGAAATAAAAAGATAGACAAAATAACAAGGTATAAGATGGATGATCATCGAAAAAAATAACGTAAACATGCGAGTACAATAAGAACTGAAGATGTTGCATGGGAAAAAAACTCCTAAAAATGTGGGGCATGCATTATATGAGATAAGCCTCGCATTTTAAGGGACACACTTAATTAGAATTACACATCATGGTAGTTCCATTACTAGAGCTTTGACTGATATGTTCCCCAGAAAATAAAAGCTTTCACTTATATATGAAAAAAATGTTAGACTATGAATAATAGTAACAAAAACATAGAAATTAAGCATAAAGGTTGCAAATAAACCTGTAGATGACTCGCAATATTCTCTCTACGGAGGTGATCCACATTCATCAGCTCCAATACCTTTTTTGGAACAGCCCTACAATTATGTAATAAAAATTATAATGAAAATATCGAGCAGCCCCCAGCATTGTCGATGAATGAGGCACAAGATGTGAATTCTTACTATCAAGGCCGATCTGGTTGATAGCTTCTAGAAACTTGTTATGCAGCGCAATTTTCCATGTCATCCTGGGCTTTCTGTGGATGGCGGATATATGCGTGCCCTCATTGTTCTCGCTAGAATCATCTCCAACATTTCTCTTATTCCCCGAGTACTTACTCTTGTCAGTAGTCGCTGGTTGAACTCTCTGGACATCATTGTCATGATCGCTGATGTGGCTTATTGCTTTGGGATTTCTCCACCTTTGAACATGTTGCCATATGTTTTTGAGCTCATGGGTACGCACTGGCTTCACCATAAAGTCGGACGCGCCATGATCTATCCCCTTCATCACAACCTTCTTGTCGCAATCAACGGATATCACTGCATGCCATAGGACCAATGACTTAGATTTAGAATTCAGAAATTCACAAAAATCTATGAAGTGGACATATGTTTTGGTCAAAGTGCATATAGACAGAAAAGCATTTCAATGTTCAGTTTTATAATTCTTCTTCAATGCAAACTAAATGGGAAAAATTACACACATTCAATAGGAAGATACGAAAACAAAGGTTAAAACAATAACGGTAACACAATGACTAAGCCATATCACAACATGTTCCACACAAGGAAATCACATCATCATGTCTAACTATTGGTGAACCTGAAGATCAAGTATTATTATTGGCAGTCAGCCAAGTTTCTCTAGCATACTAGGTAACATCTATCGGCCCACGTAACGCTCTAAGCATTTTAAGTGATCACACTCATATTAGTTTGTAAACGTTAACCACCATTGTCAATAGCTTTTTATTACGGATAGCTAATTGTTTGTGCTTGCCACGGGGACATACATATTCTACATGATAATGTCCATGCTTAATGTGGTCCTACCGTCCAGTGCTCGATGATACGTTTCATAATTAACGTGATACTCTCGTCCAAAGAATGATACTCTCCATAATTAACGTGGTCCTCTCGTCCAATGCTCGGTGATAGTTTCCATAAATTAATGTCTGGACAATTGACATGCGTAATTAACTATATAGCTAATTAATTGCATGCAGCTGTGGGCGAGGTAGAGATTGGGCAAGAATTATCTTGGGTGAATTTTGTGCAATAATAGTAGAGATTCAGGAAAATAAGTATTTGTGGCTGCACTTTCAGTGAAAGTAATTTGACTACAAATTGGTGTGCTTATTCAAAGTCAACAAATATGCAGTATTGTAGGTATTACCCATGGTTAACCTACTCATGTATGTACTTAAAAGGGGCATTCCTACTTTACATGCTATTCTTGAGAGTAAATTGTCATAAGGAGTAACAACTTTAAGGATAATGAAGATGAGTAGTAATCTTAATAATATCAATACAATTCGCAAAAAAATATCAATACTCCCTCCATTCCAAAATATAGTGCGCCCGCGCTTCCCGAGGTCCAATTTTGACCATAAATTTAACCAACGAGACCAACTGCGGCGGGAGAAAAAATTATATAATTGAAAACTTCTTTCGAATACGAATTGACTGATATAATTTTTGCTCCCGCCGCAATCGATCTTGATAGTTAAATTTACGGTCAAAGTTGAAGCACGTGGATAGAGAAAGCACTATATTGTGGAATGGAGAGAGTACAACATAGGTATTTCTTAATTGTAGTATTCCTGCAACCCTAGCAAACAGGTGTGGCGCAATCGTATACCTTGTGTGATTGTTAGAACGCGAATTTTAATATTAGCTTTGAAAACAAATAAATATAACTTGGTCATTTCATGAACTATGAATAGATTAAAGTTTTCATTCTTATTGATAGGATTGTACAATTAATTGAGATGATATAAAATTAAATTCTAGTTGTCCATAAATAAAACCATCGAACATGTGGATAGTGGGGTCTACATTACGTAGGAGTGATAGAGAGTCTCACTAAGCCAAAGTACTCATTTATAAAATTAAATTCTAGATAGACCATAAATACGCCCATCGAACGCGTGGATGTGGAATCTATTTTACATTAGAGTGACAGAGACTCTCACTAGGCCAAATTAGCCATTGAAGTGACCATGTCTCTAGCCTACTAAACACTATCAGCCCAATTATTAAAAACAACAATTGGGATCTCATATCACGTGCTATCCATGTTTGTTCTCCATCCCCACCATCCATCCGATCTGATGGATGGATGGTTAGATAGGATCTCATTGTTTTGGGCTAGAAACTGACAATGCGCCCCCTACTAGCTCATGTGTCGCTCCACCTCCGCTCTCCTACCCCAGTCGCCATCCGATCAGACGGATGGTTTGATAGGATCCCATTGGTTTGGGCTAGAAACCGACACTACGTCCCCTACTAACTAATGTGCCGCTCCACCTCCGCTCTCCTATCCCACTCGCCATCCGATCGGACGAGTGAACGGTTAGATGGGACCCCGTTGGTTCGGACTCAGTGGGGATCCCGTTCTTTAGAACTCTTCCAGGTTTGAAATAGAGTGCGGGTTTTGTGCATGTGTATGTGGTTTCATAAAATCGTCCTAAATATATAGGATCTCACCCGCTGCCCAAAGAAATTAATATCCTCTCAAGGTATCAACAAGATTGAGGAGTAAAAGTACGTTCTTAAAAACAATTGTCAGTGCTCATGGATAGAAAACTCAAAAATTGGACTTTGGATTGAGAGCAGTGAGAGTACTGATGACGGGCAGATCCATCGCGAGGCGGATGAGCTCGAGGAGCTTGAAGCCGTCCATGTCCGGCATGCGCACATCGGTAATGACCAGGTCGAACTGCTGCTTCCCCGCCATGAGCATCCTGAGCGCCGTCTTTCCATCCATCACCGTCGTTGCTGCATAGCGGCAAGCATTATTCGCAGAGAAACAAATAGATCACAAGGCCCCGATTCTAATGGACTATGGCGAAGTGGAGGGATCAAGAGACTCACGTTGGTATTTACAGCGGCGCAACAGGGCTTCAAGTACCATGAGGCAGACGCGGTCGTCGTCCACGACGAGGACGCGTAACCCTTCGGGAAACTTGTCCTCCGCCGCATCCTCCATCATCTGCCTTCGGTCCCCACCCATCGTGGCCATGTTCTCCGAACTTCTTCCCACCTGGAAAAGCAAACGCCATCAAGAAAAATACTGATTAAAAACAAATCAGCACAAACCGCACAGCCAAAACCTCTATTAGCTTCCTCGTCTAAGGACACAACTGATGTTACTGCTTTGCTCCTCGTCTAAAAACAATCCGTATTCAGAGGAGTGGTGAGAAGGGCTGGAGGAAGGGCGTCTATTTATAGGGGTAGAGGGGTCAAGGGAAGGAGTGGAAGTCTCGCGGTCCAGATTCCAGAGGTCAAAGGCGCTCTCCCCGTGCTTGTGTGCATGCGCTGCTTCTACTCCTTAATTTCTGCAGCTACGCCATTTGATCTGGCGATGTCAATGTGCGTGTCTGCTTGTGCCGCGGCCCATGGTCTCTTCCATGAGAGGTGAGGAAAACCACGGGTGGTGTTGCTGTTTTTTGCTTTTGTTCTTTTCTCACCAAATGTTTAATGTTGGACACAAATGTTAGAGTATCTCCAGCCGCGTCCCCAACAAGGCCCACCAGGTGACTTTTCGGTTGCCGACGCCAAAAAATCGGCCCAGTCGTGCCCCCAAAGGCTCAATTTTCATCGGCTCGGGCGAAATTGGCGCCGGCGGACCCAACCCGACCCCGGCGTGCTGGGGGGCGCTCGGGGACGCCGGGCGAATCGTTTTTGGCGCGAAAGAGTCGTGGGCCCTCCTTGCCAACGACTAGTCTCGCTTCTCGCTGCTTCGTCGTCCTCATCGCCTCGTTTCCCGTGGCGAATCAATGCTAAAGCTGCCGCGCCGGTCAGCCTCCGCCATTGATGCCTCACCGGCGGCGCAGTGAAAATGAGACGACGCGCGTCCCCTCGCATGCCACGCGTAACGCGGCGGCCACACGTATGCGCGGCGCCTCTGCCTATATAAAGCCGACCCCAAGCGCGCCGGTGGCACGCACAGAGTCTCCACCACCGACACCACCTTTCTCCCCCTTCCTCCCTCTCCTCTTGCCCTCTCCAGCTCAAAGAATGGCCGAACGCTTCCCAGGCGACGGCGCGGCGGCGAACGGCTTCGGCCGCCGCCACCTTCACGAGGACGAAAGTGGGATCCTTTTTGAGGCCGAGTATCTGGTCCCGCCGGACATGCGGGTACCCGGGGCGTGGAGAATTAGCGCCGGCGGGGTCCCGGTGCCACCGCCGCCGACCGGGGCGGCGCGACATGCGGGATCGCGCGAATCCGCGCCTCCCTGCCGCGGCGGCGAGGGAGGGGCCACGCTACGTCCCCGACAGCCCGCTCTGGGAGCCATACTTCCGCCACCGCCACGCCGAGCAGCTCGAGGCCACCAATAGCGTCGTTCCCTCGGCAGGCTCAACTCCGAGGGGCGGCGCCGATGGTGGGGCGTGCCCGGCCGCACGCGCAGGCCGTCCTCGAGTACATCGAGGGCGGCAACACGCCGAGGCTGGAGTACCCCTCCCCCCGTCCTTCTCTCGCCGCCGTGAGAGCTCGTGGACCCGAGGCGCATGGACCCCGGGGCGTCCTCCTCGTCGCCAGGTCGGTCGACCGGCTCTCCCTGCCTCCGCCCGTCAAGCCGGAGCCCTAGGACACGTCTGTCAGCCGGCGCACCCGCAGCTCCGGCGTCCGCATCGGCGACTCCACCCCCGCCTCTGGCCGCCTCGTCCTCGTCGCACCCAAACCGAAGCCCGGCCTCCCCGCAGAGTACGAGGAGATAGCCTGGCGCGGCATCTCCGACGAGGACGCCATGCAGTGGGCGCGGGACGACTACCTCCGCGACGAGATGGTCCGGCAGCGCCGGGCCCTGGAGGAGATAGCCGCCCGCAAACGTGGGCGCGAGGACAAGCACGGCGTCGTGATCCTCGACAGCGACGACGACGAGGACGCCCCCGGACCGTTCAACCCGCCACGTCAACCGGGGGAGGGTTGCAGCAGGGACGGCGGCCGTAGCGGAGGCGGCGACGACGATGATGATGACGGCGGCCACTACACGCGGTTCTACAGCCTCCTCGGCATGTAGATCTGCAAGGGCGGCGGGCGGCAAGGAGCGGCGAGGGAGACGGCGTGGAGCAACCTAGTAGCTTTTTTTTTTCCTTTTTGTAAAATATTTTAAATATGAACGAACTCGCCGAAATTTGGTTAAATTTGCGCCGTGTTTGTGCCGTAATTTATATTTTCAAAAAAACGTGGGCGCCGTGACTGGGGCATCACGCCCCCAGCGTGTGGTTTATCGCCGGTGCACCCCAGGGGGTGATTTTTAGCGCCCCCTAAGGGGTCAACGGCTGAAGATGCTCTTATGGTCTTGAATTACAAAAAGGAGAGGCTCCTGCTTTGCTCCTGCTCCTGCTTCTTTTGACCGGGAACAGAGAGAGCGTTCATGTCTCAGTCGTCAGATTCCTACCTACTTTTGCATGGCAACGTGAAAATGTGAAGGCCTAAACTCAAGGAGTGGAAGTCTTTCTCCACTTATCACTTTGTGGAAAATTAATATGACAAGGGCATTTTATCTGAAGAAAAACACTTCAAGCAAATAAGTTCAAGGGTGTTTCAGACTAGGGAGTACCGGATGCACCCTAGCTAAGGGCGAGAGTAAGTGAGTAACACACAAATTCGAACCAAATGATTGCTTATGCTTTGATCCTTATTATGAGGTGTCAGGCCTATGTATTCAACAAAGAAAGAAATATGTCGTTTACAAAGCAGAGAGAAAGAAATACAGGGATAGAAGAGTGGAGTTCTTGTGGTCCAGGCCATGGATGTCTGTAGTTTCTGCCATTTTTATTTTCATTACACTCCATTAAAAAATTCTGTTTTTGTTTCCATTCCATTGTCAAATGTTAACTTTCTTGTGGTCCAACGTTGGAGCTAGATGATATTGTCTGTAGTCCAAAAGAGGCTTTTGGCGATGTTCAGGTCATATCTCAAATTAATGCCTCACCTTTATTCTCATGAAATTTGTATCGGTGCACTGAAAGGAGTCAAAGCGCCACTCAACAAAGAGAGATGAAAGGATTTAGCACATCACGTGTAAATGGAAATGAAATGATTCAACCCGACACATGACAAATGAAGATGAAAGGAGATAATACACTATGCGACAAATATATGTCGTGAGAATCAAAAAAGTTTGGATTTGGAGGGCCAGATTGGCAACTAATGATTTCTATATAGAAAGACCTAGAGGCACCACTTAAGCTCATTATTTAAATGGAGGCCAACAGGAGGCATTGATGTAATGGTTTTCTCTTTCTAGGATTTTTTCTTTGGAGAAGGTGCTAACCCACCCAATGGAAATGGAATTTTTCTTTTTTTACACTGCTTCTCCATTTTTCGTGTGGTGCATAGACTCCCTTTTGTAAAAAAATATCATGTAGATTGTATGCATTTGATTATTTCTTTATTCTTATATAAAAATATTTTACAACCATATCACAATCAATAGAATCTCATTACTCACATGAGAATTCAGGATTTTGACAATCCACAATCTCGATGCATCCAAGAAACGAGTATATTCATGGAAACTCATGGGATATTATCCCCTCCATGTTTTTTTCGAAAACAATGACGGTCACGACCTTGACGCGCCTTCTCTGCCCCAACGCGTTCTCAAGGCTCCGGTGGCTCATGTGCTGGCGCCTGTTGCCGTTCCAGGGGCGGCCAGCGGCACATGTTGCTCTGTCATTGCGATGTGCACCACTGCTACCTCTTGAGCACTATGTTGGATTTCCCCGAAGAGGAGAGGATGATGCAGCAAAGTAGCGTAAGTATTTCCCTCAGATTTTGAGAACCAAGGTATCAATCCAGTAGGAGGCTACGCGCAAGTCCCTCGTACCTACACAAAAACAATAACTCAACGCAACCAACACGCTTAGGGGTTGTCAATCCCTTCACGCTCACTTACGAAAGCGAGATCTGATAGAGATGATAAATAATATTTTTGGTATTTTTGGTATAGAGATGCAAAGTGAAAAGTAAAAGGCAAAGTAAAAAGCAAAGCAATAATAAAGTGATGGAGATTGATATGATGAGAAAGAAACCTGGGGGCCATAGGTTTCACTAGTGGCTTCTCTCAAGAGCATAAGTATTCTACGGTGGGTAAACAAATTACTGTTGAGCAATTGACAGAATTGAGCATAGTTATGAGAATATCTAGGTATGATCATGTATATAGGCATCACATCCGAGACAAGTAGACCGACTCCTGCCTGCATGTACTACTATTACTGCACTCATCGACCACTATCCAGCATGCATCTAGAGTATTAAGTTAAAAACAGAGTAACGCCTTAAGCAAGATGACATGATGTAGAGGGATAGTTTCATGCAATATGATAAAAACCCCATCTTGTTATCCTCGATGGCAACGATACAATACGTGCCTTGCTTCCCCTTTTGTCACTGGGAAATGACACCGCAAGATCGAACCCAAAGCTAAGCACTTCTCCCATGGCAAGAACAACCAATCTAGTAGGCCAAACCAAACTGATAATTCGAAGAGACTTGCAAAGATAACCAATCATACATAAAAGAATTCAAAGAAGATTCAAATATTATTCATAGATAGACTGGATCATAAACCCACAATTCATCGGTCTCAACAAACACACCGCAAAAAGAAGATTACATCGAATAGATCTCCACGAGAGAGGGGGAGAACATTGTATTGAGATCCAAAAAGAGAGAAGAAGCCATCTAGGTACTAACTATGGACCCATAGGTCTGAAGTAAACTACTCACACTTCATCGGAGGGGCTTGGATGATGATGTAGAAGCCCTCCGTGATCGATGCCCCCTCCGGCGGAGCTCCGGAACAGGCCCCAAGATGGGATCTCATGGATATAGAAAGTTGCGGCGGTGGAATTAGGTTTTTGGCTCCGTATCTGATCGTTTGGGGGTACGTAGGTATATATAGGAGGAAGAAGTACGTCGGTGGAGCTTCGAGGGGCCCACGAGGCAGGGGGCGCGCCCTCCACCCTCGTGACCGCCTCGTGGCTTTCGTGATGGAGGGTCCAAGT